TAAAAGCTCAGGATCTTAAGAGAGAGAATTACATCTGGCACTGAATTTTAGAATTGCAGATGACTTCAGGATTACCACCCAGGACAGGAGGGTGCTGCCAATTTGAGCTGAGGACTGAAGGGTTCACTGCACATGTCAGGCAATCTGGCAAGTGCCGTCATCATAAATGTGTGAATTTTACAGCAGGTCATCCTCTTTGGTGCTGTCCGCTACCTTGCCAATAGTATTGATTGTTTTTCAATAATTGCACTTATTTGCCCTTGATCCCAACAATACAGGAATTTGCAAACAGCTCTAGTTTCATTTAATTCATTTTTTAAATGAAAAGTAGCTTGATACTGCAATTGGAAGATTGCAGTGTGAAGGATGAGATCAAATGACTCAAATGGCTTTTTCTTCATCCGAATCTCTTGTGATCTTCTGACTTGTGACTTCTTATTATCAGTGCCATGACGGAAGAGGAAACAGCCTTTAAATTTGCTGGCGAAGTAAAAAAAAATGATGATGGTGTGAAAACTCTACATAAACCCTGTGAAGTGTGGAAAAATCTATTCAAATCTGAAATAGGTTTTCCCCGACAAACAAATGCATTACTCATTGTCAAATGAATGGTAATAGTTATTTCCTGTCTGTTGTTTTATTTTTGTTATTTTAAGTGCAAGTCACAATAATAATAATCCTAACATTTGATATAGCGCCTTATCACGTCTTTGAGACATCTCAAAGTACTTCACACAATATACAAAATTGACTGTATATTTTGTGGGCAAAATGCGGCAGCCAATTGCGCACAGAAGTGTCCCACAAACAGTCATGGATTGAAGTCACCAATTTATTATTATATTCTTTGAAGTAATTATTCCTCCTGGAGAAGTGATCTGCCAATCGACTAACAACGGGGTTCCTACTTACTGCTAAGTAAACAGAGGTGTGTGGAGAAAGGAAACTTGCCCAACATTTCACCCTGCTGGGAATTGAACCCAGGTCTTTCGCTTGCAAGGCGAGTGCTCTCACCACTGAGCAACAGGACTCCACAAAGAGATGAAACTAAAATGTAGTCTTTTTAGACACTAAATATATATTTTCATATCTATATATGTTTAGATTTTTTTTAAACTGGGGGCAACTGTGATGAATCAACGGACAGAGCTGCAGCTTATGGACTGGAGCTCGCTGGTTCAAAACTTGGTTTGTACTGAGTTTACTTGTCTCAGACAGGGCGGCATGGAGGATCTCTAAATGACATTTGTGGTAGCTGGATGAGGAGAGACTCAGCTGTGATTCCCTCTACATTGGAGTGGCCTCACTTCCTCACTGGGGCAGAGTAATAACAAGGCACAGGTGGAACTCCGCTCAATTTGAAGAGGCTGGGGAACCAGGTGCAGAGGCACATGCCAAAGAGGAGAACATTAAAAACATCAATTGAACACACCTAAATTTTTAAAAAGCTAGATCTGACATATCAAGGTCTTCTTCTAGATGTTGTCTCTGTTGGTCCAAGTCCCTGACTGTCCAACGTCTTGGGACATCCTCCCAACATGAAAGGCGCTACATAAATGTAATTTGTTGCTGTTGCATAGCAAATGAATAAATACGACTGTGCACGGAAAGTGGAAAACCTCAAGATATAATGATTCTTGTACCCACACAGTAAACCTCTCAGATTTCAGCTGGATACTAACAATGTTGGTTAATAGAGTAACAGAGGGCAGAAGACTACTCAAGGCACAGAGAAGGACAAAATATGCCAAACGGTAAGAGCAAAACTGTTGCAGCTTTTAACTATTCCCTGAGATTAGAATGCAGCCTTGAAATCCACGCCTTCCCTTCTTGTTTAAGTACCTTTATATCTGTTTTCATGCTATGATATGATTCTGGGGTTGGGTCTATTTTTGGGGCCGGAACAGCCTGTTAGTGCAGACAGTGACTGATAATGTGGTCCATGTTCTTGGTGGGTAATGATGCTTTACAAGAAGATTAATAGTTGTGGTGTCAGTTTGTGCAGACTTATTAGGAAAGAACCTGAAGATGATAATCCAAGAAAATCTAATGCAACACCTCTTATGTAATAATGTCCAGTGTGAACTCTAACCCAACACGAGCGAATANTTTTTTCCATGTATTTGTTCACAAGTATTAATACCAGAACATGTTGCAACCCAGTGTCTAATAAATAAATGGATAAATAATTAAGCTCTTTGACCACGCTTTAGGTGATCTTTTGCCTTCCCACCTACCTCAGCTTCCACTCAATTTTAGTTGCCCATTCCAACACTGTGAATGCGCTATGTATGGGCTGTCTTCCTGATATTGTATACTGAGGGTAAATGTTCCACATGTATTTAAATTTACTAGTGTTTAACCTCACTATCTCTCTGACTATGCCTTTGATCATCTGCTCGATGTCCATCACTTCTATTGTTAAGTGATTATGCAACAAAGGCACTGCACCACATAAATCAATAAGAATTCTTGCATTTGATACAGCACCTTATCACGCTGTTGAGACATCTTAAAGTGCTTCAAAATCAAGTTGTAACTCAAGAATGTCAAATGTTCGACTGAGTTGTCATGATTCTTCTGCTGCTACAGAAGAAGAGAAGCTGGTACAAAGTGGGTGGCAAAGCAATGAAGTGCATTGGAGCTCCAGCTCTTTTGAGACTCCGTGAACAGTTAAGTTGCAGGTTCAGACCCTTAACAAGACATTTTCATCTATCAGTCTGGGCTGAATTGAAATCCGTGTCTGTAGTTGTAAGGGCAATGTTCTAATGTACCATGCCATCAATTCTCCTAACACTTTGTCCTTTGATCACAGCATTGGAAGTTCAGGCAGCTCCTTTTAAGAATGAGTAAGACTTTCTGACATCAATGGCAATCGATTAGGATTTCACCTTTCTGCCATTACTAACTGATCCTTGACTTGCAATATAGTGGTAAATTAATCTTCAGAGACTTGCTTTAAGTTGAGTAATCCATAAACCACACCAGAGGTAAGGATTGAATTGCATTCTGATTGAATTCAAACACCCGTTTTCTTAATTTTATTTCAGGGAAAGAACAAACCCTTTTTTATGCTTGTCTGAAAGTAATTTATAGAAATGTATCCATAAAAAAAAATGTATTTAAAAAGAATCACATGCTGATGTGAACTTATTTTGTCATCAACATTCACCATCCACAGTACAATAATTTTTAAAAAATTAAGTGTAAAATTAAAATAAACACATCAAAACTTTTTTTATTAAATGTCATGGTTAGCAGTTAAATCCCTGTCTTATTTAATATTAAGAAATGTACTTCAACATCAAGCAATATAAGTCAATAAGATCTACTTTTAACTTCAATACTAGATACTTTCAAAATGCTATTAATATGGACCATCTCAATGTTTTGATGCATTTCAAAATCTAATTTACGTGTGGCAGCAATTTCCTACATGTTTTGAACTTTTAAGTTGCAAATGATGATTTTCCCACAACATGTTTAATTCAGTAAGGCATTCGGTGTCTTGAATCAATTATCAAACTGTTTGCATTTCAAAGGATTTTGTGCTGGTTTGTAATAATTCTGTCTGATTTTTGACACTAATAATCCTAAATTTATTTTGTGAAGTGTTATGGAAGCAAATTCTCTCGATCCAAATAAAGAAACCTCAAAACATAGAATTGGGAGCTGTAGTGTTATTGAAGATTGGTTTATCAAATTGGAGAATAACGTTATATAATCCTGGGTTTATTCTCAAATTACATCCATTCTCTCGCCTTAGGATGCAGGAAAGTGTTTGGCCAGTGATTGTTTGATCTCGGTTGGAACTGTCTCTTGTACTATTTAACCAAACAGAGGAAGTTACTGCATTAGTGGAGTCATACGAGCACTGCAGAACTCCATCCTCCCAGACAAAGAAAGCCCGGGTGGAGCTGGCGGAAGCAGGGCGGGGGGGGCTTGGGGGGAGGGGGGACTTTGTGAGCGAACGCAGCCGCCAGTTTGCACAAAGCCACATCCCAGAAACAGCCGTCAACAACAACAACAAGAAGAAGATTGCATTTATAGAGCCCCTTTCACGTCGGGAGGACGTCCCGAGGCGCTGGGACAGTCGGGTCGGGTCCCGAGCAGGGGAGGTGGGGGGGGGGGCGTGGGGGGAAACGGTCAGGGTGAGGGGAGGGAAGGGAGGGAGCGAGGAGAGGGTAGAGAGTCGAGAGGGGAGCTGAAGGCACGGCCGAAGACAAAATAATGATAATAATAATAATAATAATCCTTGCATTTGATATAGTGCTTTTCACGTCGGGAGGACGTCCCAAAGCGCTTCACAGAACACACTGTAAAGTGAATTGACTGTATATTTGTGGGCGAACGCGGCAGCCAATTGCGCACAGCAATGTCCCACAAACAGTCGTGGATTGAAAATGACCAATTTATTATTGTTTTTGGTTTTATGAGGGATTATGACGACGACGGACGACTACGACGACGACGACTTGAGTCCATCGAGAGGGCCTTTGGCTCCGGGGTAGCGTTTACGCTCAGAACACTCACTATTGCGAACCCCTCTAACGAAACAAACTGCAAAGTTTATTGTCCGTAAACGTTAATGACCCAAACTGCACCTGTTGTGATGGCCGCTGTCAACACAATAAACACAAACAAACTGCGATCATACGGTCAAAACTAAATGAGAGGCTGTTTCATCAAAACGCCCTGAACTGTCAGATGTCTTTGCCGGGGGGGGGGGGGGGGGGGTGCGCGGTAGCCGGTGCGCACTAGGACCCGGGGCAGCACTCACGAGGGTGTGACACGTGGGCGGGGGAGGCGGGGGACACGTGGGTGGGGGGCGGGGGACACGTGGGCGGGGGAGGCGGGGGTGAGGGGGCGGACACGTGGGCGGGGGAGGCGGGGGACACGTGGGCGGGGGTGGGGGGGGGGCACGTGGGCGGGGAGGCGGGGGACACGTGGGGGGGGAGGCGGGGGACACGTGGGCGGAGGGAGGGGGGGTGGGGGGGGGACACGTGGGCGGAGGGAGGGGAGGGGGGGGGTGAACACGCGCGAGTAACGGCTTTTCTGGCAGTGGCTCAATGACCGGACTCGCGGCCGAATGGCCGTCCCGCGGCACCTGGACATGGGATGAACTGAGGTTAGAGCTGACTCCCCTCCCCCGCCCCACACACACACACACACACACCACATAGGTGCGGAGTGACGGTGACAGGGAGGGGAGGAGTGACAGTGACAGGCAGGGGAGGAGTGACAGTGACAGGCAGGGGAGGAGTGACAGTTGCAGGCAGGGGAGGGGAGTGACAGTGACAGGGAGGGGAGGAGTGACAGTGACAGGCAGGGGAGGAGTGACAGTGACAGGCAGGGAGGAGTGACAGTGACAGGCAGGGAGGAGTGACAGTGAAAGGCAGGGAGGAGTGACAGTGACAGGCAGGGGAGGAGTGACAGTTACAGGCAGGGAGGAGTGACAGTGACAGGCAGGGAGGAGTGACAGTGAAAGGCAGGGAGGAGTGACAGTGACAGGCAGGGGAGGAGTGACAGTTACAGGCAGGGAGGAGTGACAGTTACAGGCAGGGAGGAGTGACAGTTACAGGCAGGGGAGGAGTGACTGACAGGCAGGGGAGGAGTGACAGTGACAGGCAGCGAGGAGTGACAGTGACAGGTAGGGGAGGAGTGACTGACAGGCAGGGGAGGAGTGACTGACAGGCAGGGGAGGGGAGTGACAGTGACAGGCAGGGAGGAGTGACAGTTACAGGCAGGGGAGGAGTGACTGACAGGCAGGGGAGGAGTGACTGACAGGCAGGGGAGGGGAGTGACAGTGACAGGCAGGGAGGAGTGACAGTGACTGTCCTGAGTTCAGACAACATACATCGTTGACTGCAGAAAATAGTTGTTGCTAACTTCTCCACACCTTCATGTNAAAAAATAATGCTGGCATTTGATACAGTGCTTTATTAGGTTGTTCCACACAATAATGTTCCACGAATAAACCGACACCAGGAGAAACTTCCTTCTCCTTTTGAATAGTGCCGTGGAATCCTCAGCATTCATCTGAACAGAACATCAGTTTAACGTCTCATCCGAAGGAAGGCATCTCTGACAATGCAGAGCTCCACCACGCTGCAATGGAGTATTAGTCTACACCAGGGATGGCCGACCTGTGACTATTTTCCGCAAGCGTAAAGCAGCTCGCATGCAGCCCATAGGCTGCAAGTGGATCATCCCTGGTCTAGACCATGAGCTCACAGACCCAGGGTGGATCCACAGTCTTCTGACTCAGGAGAGATGAGCTGAGGTCTTATAAAGCATTCATACACTCTCACACACACACACACTTCTCAGATTTCCTGGGGCTTATTGGAGTCCATTGGATATACCATGTGTAATCTATTTGTAGATACAGATTAATAAGGGGAATTACAGGTGCCTTTATTTTTCATTTTCAATCGTTGATTATGTTGATTACATAATTAAGGGCACCTGTATACCTGGATGTTCGCATTGTTCACACATGGCTCATAACATATTCTCAGAGCTATCTACTGGGGAATGGGTCTGGTAGTAGTGAGTTTTTAGTGTATGCAATTCATCAGTGTTATCTGGCTCTCATCCACCAGAACAGGCAGACCTTGGTCCAATGTCTCATCCGAAGAATGGTGGTTTAACGTCTCATCTGAAGAATGGCACCTTTGACAATGCTATGTTCCCCCATCATTATACTAGAATGCCTATGAGCTCAAAGTCCATATACGGGGCTTGAACCTTTTGACTCGAACTCATAACGTTCTGACTCAGATGTGCGAATGCTACCACTTGAATCAAGCTGACTCTTTTATGCACTTAAATGTAACTGCGTTTGGGGAGCACCTGATCTGTCTCTAAAATACATCCCGTTAGGTTTTTCCTTGCAAATCCCTTTAGATTTGCTTTAAGTGGATATTTGAAAAACAGTAAATCTCTTTAGAACTGAACCGAGTTTCCTAAAGTTAAGAAATGTGATTGAAATTATATATTTCATCAGGGAAGTTTACTTTGGACTGAAAGTACTACAAAGGATTTCTTAAATTTACTCCTTTTAACCTCCAACCTTGACAGTTTCACGTTTAACATAATTAGTCTCCGTTTTACTTCATTCACTTTTATTTGTTTTTTTTGTCATTAACTTTCTTTTTCTCTTTCATTAATTTTTATTGATTCTTATCCTGTTGCCTTTGTGCACATTTTTTTTCATACACATTCTCTTTTGTTTTCATGGGTAAATCTAAATACCAAATTAAAGTATGATGGATCACTGGCCTGTCTAAAATCATCATCTTATCAGACCACACATACTGTGTTTTATTTAAGTTACTGATGTGCTTCAAATTTTTTATTAGCTCATATTTTTCTTTCATGAGATAAAATTTGGTTAGTAGATACAATTGCTTTAATCAAAAACATTCTATACAATTAATTTTATCTGTTTAATTTCAGATTTTTAGCATCAGCACTTGGCGTGAGTATACATTTTCATAACTTTGTAATTCACAGCTTCAGTTAAAATGTTTTTTCTTGAGGCGAAGTAACCTAATGAGTATAGCACTGATTTTACAAACAGTTAAATTTGCAAACCGGTAAAAAAGAGCTGTTATGTTTCATTGTACTGTTCAGCTAGGATTATTCCCCTTGGAGCAGAAAAGGTTAAGCAGAGACTTAATAGAAGTTTTAAAATTATGAGGGGATTCGATAGGGTGGACAAGGAGAAACTATTTCCACTGGCAGATGGATCGGTAACCCAAGGGCACCAATTTAAAATGGTTGTTAAAAGAAATAGAGGGGAGGTGAGGAGAATTTTTTTTACACAGTGAGTTGTTCGGATCTGGAATGCATAGACTGAAAGGGTAGTAGAAGCTGATTTGATAACAAGCTTTTAAGAGAGAAGTAGATAATTATTTGAGGAGGACAAGTTTGCAGGACTATGGGGAGAGAGCGGGGAGTTGGATTGAATTGGATAGCTCTTTTAAAAGAGCCGGCACAGACACGATGGACCGAATGACCTCCTTCTCTGGCTGTATAATTCTATGATTCTTATGATTCTACACCCTATCCACTGGTGTTTGGCTTGCTGGGTTGATGCCAGGACACTGCAGTTGGTCTTTATGTCTCTGAACTGGTTATAGGAAAAATCAGCCAGGTTCCTGTTGGATGTCCCAAGGCGCTAATATACACAATATTAGGAGAATGCAATCATACATTATATACATTCAGATTTGAATCAGTAATTTTATTGCAGGGTTAAAGCACTGTTAAAATGAATATTAAAAAAAATTCCGTAAGTGTGAGATGGACATTAAAATAAGGTTCAATGAAAATACAGGGACTTTAAAGTTGAGATGTTTAATATATAAAAATATACTAATTCTCACTTTATCTGCGAGTGTCTTTCAAAACAGATGAAACAGACTGACTCAATTGGTCTGGGGAGAAGCAGAGTGATACAGAATGAAAAATGCTTTGCAATATTTAAGCAGTATTCAAGGATACATTGGTTAACATTCATAGGAATTGGACTTCATTAACTTATTTTAAATGAACAACAACAACAACTTGCACGTATATAGCACCCTCCATGCAGGGTAGTGTCTCAGAACGCTTAACAGTGGCGGAGCCTGACTCTGAGCCGAGGGCAGGTGACCGTAAGCACGGTTGAACAGGAAAGTTTTCAGACGGGACTTGAAAGAGGGGAGAGAGGGGGCAAGGCGGAGGGAATGAAGGAGAGTGTTCCAGAGTTTGGTGCATAGTGGCTGAAAGCATGACCTCCAATGGCGGGGTGGAGTGTGCGAGGGATGAGCAGGAGGCCGGGCCAGTCCAGCGGAGGCACCGGGTGGTGGATTGGGGAGTGAGGAGGTCGGAGAGGTAGGGAAATGCTAGGGAGTGAAGGGATTTGAACACGAGAGTGAGGATCTTGAAGTTGATCCTTTTGGGGATGGGGAGACAGTGGAGCCTAACCAGAACTGGTGAGATATGGGTACGGAGTTGGTCCAGGTCAGTATGTGGACAACAGAGTTTTGAATGAGCTGAATCTTGTGAATGGTGGAACTGGGAAGACCGGCGAGAAGTGCGTTGGAGTAATCCAAGCGGGAGGTGACAAACGCATGCACAAGGGTTTTGGCTGCATTTGGGGTAGGATACGGTCGGAGGCGAGCAATGTAGTGGAGGTGGAAGAGGGCTGTCCTGGTCAGGGCCCGGATGTGGGGGAGGGAGGGGAATTGGGTTTGAACCGGATGCCTAGGTGGCGCATTGGTTCGGTGAGTCTGAGGGAGAGCCCAGGGAGGTTGAGGAGTTTAGATCCGCAGGAATGAAGACATTGACGGGAGCCAAAGAGAATGGCTTTCGTCTTGTCCATATTCAGTTGCAGGAAGTTTATATCCAGGCCTTGATGTCTGTCAGACAAGCTGATAGAACATCTGCGGATCTGAAGTGGGTACTGGAGGATTTTAGCAGACAAATTCTAAAAAATAATACAAGTGCAAAGTTGTAAGGGTGAGGGTTAGTTACGGTTAGCATGTAGTGGATAAGCATGTGGCTAGCAAAATGTAATTTCAAATAAGATATTCATTGTTATTATCATTTTTTTTCCAATTGCTTCTTTACTATAATTAAAAATATACTTTTGTTTAGTTTCCTAGAAACCTTTTTGTTGGTTGTATTCCAGCTGATGTTGTGCGTCTGACATCTGGAATAAACACGGAGGTAATATTATAAAAATATTATAATTGGAAACTAAGTGACTTTAATTCTTTTCAAGTTTAAATTTAAGGAAATCAAATTTTCTTTCCCTTACCTTCAAATGTAACTCTCTTTCCTGACAGTTATTTAATATCTCACTCCAATGACCATTCTCCATTTTTCCTGCATGTTACTAGACAGTAGTCTAGGAAGCACACTTGGATTATAATGGTGGTATGTGGTCTGAGACCTAAGAATAGGACTTCACTTATCTATGTACCTACAATGAGATCTAAAATCAGAAAACTTCTCCATCTCTTCTTGAAGTGTGGAATGAATGAAAGATATTCAGATCATTGTGTCTGCCCCTCCAATGAGCCATATATAAATTGTACCAACATGGCATCTTCTGATTATTTTAATCTCCTCTCAGAGCTAGGTAACCACAGATAATATTTCCAAGTAATTCTGATTGTTATTCAAATCTGGCTAGTCCACAGATAATGTTTCTGTGGTCCCAACAGGAGTAGATTAACACAATTTAATACAATATTTTACCTCCTGTAATCTTTACTCATCCCTACAATATTGAATCCAAGTACAGTATTAATTAAACTGTCTTTTAAAGTGTTTAATTGACATAACAGTAATTACATTTGACAGGCTTATATTCCATAAACTACTACAGTCTAGAAATTCTATGCTTATGTGAAGCTTGTCAATTTTTTACTCATGTCCTCTAGCCCTGTGATTATATTTTAAAGTTAAATAACCTTGCATTTACAGTTAATTATTTTAAACACCTAAGTTGTATCCCTCCTACGTTTTTCTTTAGTGAGAACCAATTAGTGAAATCTTGTAATTTTTTTCAAGTGTCCTAATCAGTTTTTTTCCCTCATTTCTGAGCTCTCCAAATGCAAGCTCCAATAATAATAATCCTTGCATTTGATATAGTGCCTTATAGTGTCTTTTGAGACATTTCAAAGCACTTCACAGAATATACTCCTCAAAATGAAACCCACTATTCTAAAACTTGACATAACAATGAAGAATAAAATACCCATTTTGTCCTGTAATCAAGTCCTCTTGAGATGAACACAACTGCTTGACAGCAGCCTCATGTTGATGAGAATAGCTGATAAACTTATTTGAAGCTGCCCATCTTTGTCAATGGACTGCCTGCCCTCTGCTGTGTATATACATGTTCTGTGTTTCATGTACTCATGTGCATTTCTTATTCATTTATAGATAATAATAATACCTACATTTGATATAGCATCTTATCACATTGTCGAGAAGTCTCAAAGTGTTTCACAGGATATACTGTAAAGTGGATTGACTGTATTTTGTGGGCAAATGTGGCAGCCAATTTGCACACAGCATGTTTCACAAACAGTCATGGAGTGATTGAGTGACCAATTTTATTTGGGGGATTGCTGGCCAGGATACAGAAGAAACTCCCTTCTCTTTTTCGAATAGTGCCATAGGATCTTTAACATCCACCTGAACAGGGTGGGATCTTGGTTTAACATCTTTTCTGAAGGACAAATATTCAAGTTAAAATACATCTACTTATCCTCGGATCACTAACTTAAATTTCTCCAGATTCCTTTAAATTCTGCTAATCTACATTCTAAATTCAGGAACAAGAAAACTCGATGCTCACTGGCATATGCACTCAGTAGGGATCCCTCTGCTTCATTTTTAGTTTCCATCTCACCTCGGCTTGCCTAGAATTGCTGATTCCTGGATTTAATACACAAATTCAGGAACTGGGATAACTTTGAAACTTAATCTTGTGGAATGTGTGAAGATTGTTTACATGTTACTTATTGTATACACTGATTAATCTCTTTCAGGCAATATTTACCACAAATAAAATATTGTTTATACCTTTTTTGCTACAGTGACGTACCAATGTGTCAAAGGTTCTAGTGAAATCATTGAGCACAGATGGCAAAGTAACTTCTTAATGCCATTCTCTGCAGGTAATTGTCTATCTTCTAGATTTAGCAAAATGGTTTTCCTTTGGAAACTCAATGCATAATATATATTTAGAAATATATATTTAAAAATATGTCCTGTGATGATCAGTATTCAGATCTACATTGTTTGTTATGGAGAATATTGCTTTTCCCACAAAAGACAGTCAGTCCACTTTACGATATATTCTGTGAAACGTTTTGAGACATCTCAGTGATGAGGTAAGGCGCTATGCAAGGATTATTATTATTACTGTAGAGAATAGGAAGTTAATCATAAATATTTGATGAATCTAGCCAACTCTATCCTCTGGAGTAAAGAGAGCCAGTGGAGCTGGGCGAGGGTGGGGGTCACAGAGCCTGGTGCGGGAGAGGGTTTATATTATTTTCAATGACACGCTTCAAATTTCATTATTCGATTTCAACTATGAGTGGTTTGAATTAAACTGCCATTTAATAGTTACGTTGTTGAATTTTGATATTTTGTTTCAAGTACTGTTGTATTAATCTGATTGTATTTGTAACATCTAGGCTCGATTACGCTAACTCCCTACTTGTTGGCCTTACCAACCCTTCCTGCCACAAGCTGCAGATCATTCAGAACTCTGCAACTTGCGTCCTCTCCTGCACCAGGCCCTATCGCCTCTACCTTCACCCGGCTCCACTGGCTCCCCATACCCCAGAGGATAGAGTTCAAAATCCTTGTTCTCGCCTTCAAGGCCTTCCATGGCCTTGCTCCTTCCTACCTCTGTGATCTGCTAACCCCATATCAACTTGTCTGCTAACTCCACTTAGCAGACTTCGGCCTACTCCACGTCCCCCGCCCGGCCTGCCCCACCTTTGGCGGTTGGTTTTCAACTTCTCTGCTCCTAATCTTTGGAACTCCATCCTACAGTTCCCTTCACCTTGCTCCATCCCTTGCCTCCTTCAAGGCATGTCTGAAGACCCTCCTATTCGACCGTGCCTTTGGTCACCCTCCTACCCCTACCCTCTCTACCCTCCACCTCTCCTAATCCCAAACCCCTGCTCGGGTTTAAATCCCTTACAGTCCAGCGCCTTGGGATGTCCTCCCGACGAGAAAGGTGCTATACAAATATATTTTGTTGTTCTTGTTGTATATTTGTGAATTAAACACAGAGTGAGCACTGTAATACTTTTAACTAAATTAAATACCAGCTAACTTCTGAGAAAGATTCATATTTGAGCAATTCGCAGCCAGAAAATGCTGCCAAGGTACTTTAAGTTAGTGTCTGTGTTTTTGTAGGAATTATACAAACTTCTGCAACAGGGCTGTTTTAATGCAGCCATGAACTTAACCTGCCTGATGAAAAGTAACCAGTATAATATTCTTGTTATCAAGAAGTGCCTTGAGCTTCTAGACTGCAGGATTCTCAGGTAATTCAGTAAACTCTTGATACATTATGAGCAACTGTGTCAGTGTTATAAAAGGTATATAGTTAAGATATACATGTGGAATTTTCAGCTTCAGTTTCTACTCTGACCATGCAAAACTAAATCAGAATCAGTATAACTAACTTTAGTTATAATTGTAGTTGTAAGCTATTTAACCCAAAAATAAATATTCTAGAATTCCTGCATAACATATTCAACCACACTGCCATGCTAATATTAATGCACTGTTCAGTACTTCAAAAATTTGTACTCAAATCAGCTGCTAAAAGAAACCAGTTTAGCCCTTAGTTGTTACCTTTGTTCTCACAGTACTGTTATGTTTTCATCAGAAATCATTTGACAAGATTAATTTCTCAAAATTAGAATAAAAATAGTCTTAATTTTGTTCCTCAACAATTAAAATATTCATATATCATTATGTATGATATTTCATTCAATTCACTATCTCTTGTTATAATTTGTTAGTGTCCATTCTCATCCAATTTCAGAGCGGATAGGTACCTAGAAAATATCTGTCCTTCAGAGGTTTTTTTTTTCATATGCTTCGTCCGACCTTTGGATGAGACTTGAAACCAAGGTCTCATCTGCCTGCTCAGGTGGACGTTAAAGATCCTATGGCACTATTGGGAAAGAGAAGGCAGTTTCTCCCAGTGTCCTGGCCAACAAGTCCTCCAAATAAAATTGGTCACTCACTCCATGGCTATTTGCGGGATATTGCTGTGCACAAAACTGGCTGCCGCATTAATCTACAAAATATAAAGTTAATCCACTTCCACTTTACAGTATATCCTGTGAAGCACTTTGAGATGTCTAGAAGACGTGATAAGGTGCTATATCAAATGCAAGGATTATTATTATTACCACACCCCTCTCCCTATACTCCTTTGCCCCGATTACTCCCCCTACTCCCTCTCAACCACCATCTCCCAGATGAACCCACCTTGATACCCTCCCCACCCAGTTGCTGGTCAACCAACTCCCCGTCCTCTCCCTGCTGCTGGCCAACTCAGTCAACCAGTCACTCTCCTCAGGTTCAGTTCCTCCCTTAAAACTGCTGTCATCACTCTCCTCCTCAAACCAACCTTACAAATTACCATCCCAAGTTTTCTTCCACAGGCTGCAGATTATTCAGAACTTTGCAACTCGTGACCTCTCCCGCACCAAGCTCCCATCACCTCTGTCCTCGCCTGGCTTCCCTGACACCCCATCACCCAGAAGATTGAGTTTAAGATACTCTTCCTCGTATTCCAAGTCCTCCGTGGTCTTGCTCCTCCCTATCTCTGTGACATACTAACACCTTACTAACTTTCCTCCTCTCTCCGCTCGCCAAGCACTGGCCTGCTCCATGTCTCCTGGCCTGCCTGCCCTACCATCGGTGGTTGGGCCTTCAGTCTCTCTGCCCGCATCCTCTGAAACTCCATCCCAGAATCCCTTTGCCTTTCCCCCTCCCTTTCCTCTTTCAGGACCATCTCAAGACCTTCCTCCTTGATCACGCCTTCAGTGATCCTCCCACCTCAATCCCCCTTGGCCCCCGCCCCTCTTGATTCCAACCCCCAGCTCGGGTGCAACCCTGTCAACACTTCAGGACATCATGTGTGACTTATGTTTTCCTTTGATAGTGGGTTCTCCCTTCATGACTCCTCTAAAACATGTGGCAATGGTCGCGGGGAGTGGTGGGGGTGTCTATCAAGTCAAGTCATTTCTGTCTGATCTACACCTACTGTTTTCTAAATTGCTAAATTTGAATTGAACCTTATTCTATTAAGGTAGATTGCTGTTCACTGTAAGGAAGGACATGTGCTGCAGCCCATAGCATCAAGGACATGAAGAATGGTGTAAATCACCAGAACTCCTGTTTGATTTTTAGTTGTTTTCGGTAGGTCACACAAGTGACTTGATAAATTAAACACGGCCGACAGAATCACTGGCCAAATTAAATGTGTAGAAGAGCTAGTAGGATACTAGGTGAGAATCCTAATTACTTTTACTGATGCTAACTGTTCATAGTTCATTGGAGCAGAATATTCAAATCCTCTTTTATCTCCTCATGCAAGTAATAAAACATTGGAGGTGGTATCATCCTGTTTGAGACCATTAGGACTATCTGGGTACTAACTGTAGGATAATAAACTGCCTTTACTGCTCAGCGATTAACATTATTCTTTGTAGTGTGTTTTAATTTATCGCAAGCAGTGAGTGAATTAAGTCATCCAATGGAAAACTAGATGCAATCATGCAAATACAGCATCTTAACACTAGGTGAACCATTAGAGCTTTGATAAAAAAAACAGGCTTCATTTTGCTAGCAGTAGTGGAATCAAAATGTCATGGACAAACCCAGCAAGCTGTAAGTCACGTGTTAGAGCAGTGGTGGCCAAATCTTTTGGTCAGACAACAACATACATTTTCTTGATTGAATATTTCTTGATTTTTGTCATAAATCAAGAAATATTCAATCAAGAAAAAGATGGAAACAAAACATTGATTTAAAACAGACTCACCTAGACTACTGCGAATGTTTGGTAGGCCATTTCTTGACAGCCCCGCGGGTAAATTCCGGCCTATGGGCTATAGGTTGGCTGCCACTGTATTAGATTATGAGCTTCCTAATCTAGTGGAGATATTTTTATTAGCTGAAAGCAACCAAGTGAGTATCAAACATGTGGGGGAAAATGCCCAAACAATAAATAAAATGCCCAAACTATAAATAAAATTCCAAACATTTCTATTGGTAATGAAGAAAATCATCCACCTCATAATTGAAGAGAATGGGTCTGACCCCAGTCACCCATTCACTCGCACTACCCCCATTTGCTAGCATCTGTTTCAGCATTCAGCATCTGTTTCTGCCCTTGTGAAGATTGTAGAACCTGAGCAGTAACATGCACTATGTATTGTGGGCTTTTACAATATTTAACACAGATCATGTTAAACACAGATAGTGAGCACCGTTTAGTGGAGTCTCTTCAATTTATTAATGCTGCAACTACAAGAATGCAAGGACAAAATACTCTAGAAATGCACATCATTACATGCTTTGAAATTCTGCCTCTAAATATTTGCAACATTAGTAAATCAATGATTTAGATTAGAATGTGTGTTTTAATTGATTTCTACATGTCTATAGAAATTGTAAACATTTTCTTGACTCTATCATTAATAAGCTTAAAAACATGTAATTGTTGGGAAGCTCCCTTAAGGGACTCAAGAATAATGATTCTCACATTGAAATCAAACGGCCTTGGGTTTTGGGATAATTATTTAGTTATTTAGTACCTAAATAAGAGACCATAACTATCAATGCAGATGATATTTACTGTAATTTCTTTCCAAATGCTGTGTAGCTTCAGTGAGATCCGTAATGTGAGACTTGCCTTTTCTGCCTATGAACATTTGGACCAGTATGGGATGGAAATAGACCAGCACACTTTAATGAGAGCTCTCAAAGTAAGTCAAGTGATTTAGAGTGTAAAGGAAATATTTTGACTTATCTAATATATCTGTAATACTGTTACAATTCATAATAAGAGTGGAGTTGAAGTGTTTGTTTAAATTAAGTATGTTTTGTGGCACGAAAGAGATTGTCAAGCTACATCTGAGTTGCATTGATATGATTGTGGATGTTATTTGAGCTTTTGTTTCCTGGATGAAATAATGCTGGTTTCTTTCAACTGTTCATACCTTACTTGAAAAACTGGAGAATGTTACACAAACATTGATTGTCTGACAACTACAAGAAAATTGACCCCAGGAAACAATGTATGACATTAGTAATGACATTGCTTCAATTATGTATTTTTAAAAAATAGTTGTGAAGATTACACCATATCCTATTTTAACTATTTAAAGTACTGGACAGTAGAAACCAGGTTTGGGGTCACCTCAGTAATCCAGCCACCTCACAATTTTGGGCACATTTTCACAGTCTCTTTCATGGTCTATAGTAAACCGGGCACCTCACTATTCAGGACAATGGTCATTGATTGTGGCCACTACAAGTTCCCTCCTCTGGTACAAATGCAGTACAAACACCCCCCTCCGCTGCTAACCTGTACACAGTGCGCTGTTATTTAAGCAGAATACATTTGAAGATTGTAGGATATGATCACGTAGAAATGGGCCTCATGACAGAATCGGCTAGTCAATCTTATTTTATTTGTAATCTGACATGAAACATAAAAAGTCCCAACTTCTGCTCACAAAGATTTATAAGATACAACTAGACATATTATAAGCAGTATGATGGTAACCACTGCAAGCGGTTACATTACTTTGATTTAGACTTCTCTCGGTTAAAAAAAAGTAACAGTAGGGGAAAATGAACACTGAGAAGTGAATTAGACAGTATTTCACTGTTAAATATAATCTAAAATCTATGAATGTAATATTTTGTGCCCTATTTCAAAAGTGAATCGCATAACTTGTAATGGGCTTTGTACTTTGTATTTCTGTAAAGGTACTGTCTAATAAAAGAGAATGAAAATTCAGTGATTATATCCACCATACAGGAAATTTGAATGAAGTTCCTATTCAAAATCTGGTTGAACCTGTCAATTTTGCAGCGGTTGAGAGGTGTTTGTCTGCTGATTTCTATCCTGTCACTTAAGTTGGGAAGCACAGATATTTCAGTTTTATTTGAAGGCAGAAGAGGTCTTTCCTTTGAGGCTCTCTGTGGATAGATATCCGGCTCACATTCAATTTCTTGCCTCACACTTAAAGATTGATGGTTTGGTGGGCTGCTGGAGCAGTGGAACTGTATTCTAGCCTTCAGGTTTTGCTAAATTCAACAGCTCTAAATAATTCACAAGTATCGCAATCATGAATGGAATTTTTTTTATTCAACGTGATATAGGTACAAACATAATGGATGGAAACATTTACAATAAGATACTAAAGACTATGTTTATGAATTGCTGATAAATATAGATTGGACCTCAAAATCAACATGAAAATTCAGTGGAATTCTACAGAAATTAGTCCATTATCCTGATTTAGACCTTTTAATTCAGATTAAGAGGCATAGAGTAATATACAGTTGATACCTTCTTATGTAAAGCTATTTGTAGCATAAAATGATTGATTTATTCAGGGCTTGATTCTTAAATTACTCCCAGAAAAAAGAGCATGCACATTGATTTTGAACCCATGGAATCAACCTGAAGTCAATGGATAAATCAAGTGAAACATCTCTAAATACTTTGAAATAATTTATTTATAATTTATGTGTCAATTTATAATTGTGAATTATTCTTAGGATACTTTGGTCCCAATTTACATTGAAACTATCACTGCAGGTCTGAGACGCTCCAAGGTGTTACCCTGCATGAAAGGTGCTATTTTAATGCATGTGTTGATGAAGTTATTGTTGTTGTCTTCAGTCTCACCATTGGGTAGAATTCCTTTGGTCAGTAAAGTTATTAACCTTGCACTTTTAACTTGATTTTCCATTGTAAGCACACGCCAGCAAGGATGGTAACTTTATTAACCAGTGAAATTTTGCCTCCTTCATGTCATGTCTTGCCGAAAATGTTACCATTTTAAGGTAAAGATTAATAACACCAGGTGTGAATCACCCATCATACTGATGCTAACTGTAATCCGCATGTTATATACCATTCTAATCAAGTCATACTAGTTACGCAACACAATTTTGACTGCTAACAAATCAATTGTTTTGTTAAAATGTTTAGCATGTGATGGAACGTATGGTTTTATATTGTGCGATTTGTATCATCAATGTGCTAAACTTGTCTTTGGACATTTTGTGCAATCAAAATGTGGCTTTCTCTCTCCTTCACTTTTATAATAACATATAATAATAATAATAATCCTTGCATTTGATATAGTGCTTTTCACGTCTTCTAGACGTCTCAAAGCGCTTCAGAGAATATGCTGTAAAGTGATTTGACTGTATATTTGTGGGCGAAATGCGGCAGCCAATGTACCATAAATAGTCATGAATTGAAAATGACCAATTTATTATTGTTTCGTTTTTTGGAGGGATTATTATTAGGCTTGTGGAGTAAGGAAACTTTCCCAAGTTTTCGTCCTGCCTGGAATTGAACCCAGGTGTCTCGCTTGCAAGGCGAGTGCTCAACCACTGAGCTACAGGACTCCACATATTTTCTCCTCTCCTGAGGTTAGTTGACTCTTTCGACCTTTTATTGTGATATGGTACCATGGCCCATATTCATTTGTGTTGCTTTACACTAGGTATGGCAGGATATATTTGACTGTAGGTGAATTTGCATAGCCATGTCTTGACATGACCTCACCAAATGCCACAGATGCGCCTTTCAACATGCGCCTTGTATCTCTGTATACAACGGATGAGTAAGAACAATGACTTATTTTTCACACTTCAACTCTGAGATATTGATGAAAACTGAAGTATCTCACGTACTCAGCAGACAAGGAACTTAGGCCAAAACGATGCGAGCATAGAATGAAAATATGATAGTTTGCATATTTCTTTTTCCAGAATTAACTTTAGCGTTATTTTTCAATGATAATCACTTTATTGGCATTCTTGCACATTATTACTGTTCTATCAAAAAACAAGCTCAAGTATAAAAATGGTTGAATATGCTTGTAAAATTTAATAAGAAACATATTAGAATTCAGCATGAGATTGTTCTTAAATTGAGGTCATAGAACTTGTCAGTGACCAAGTAATGCAAGATTTAACAAGATTTGACATAGTACATTAAAGTCTGTGGATGAAAGGAGACAATTTTCTGCTGTCTGTAGAGTGTAAAGCAACTTCTGTTTGATATGTGTGTTCCTTCAAAAGGTATTTATTATAGTATGGCAAGGTCTGAATCAATATCCTGTTATTGGCTTCTATGAAAGGAAAGATGAATGTCACAGCTCAAATAAACTGAAGAATTCTAGATTTGACTGGAGGTCAAGAATAAAATCAAACCTAAAGGATTTGAACCTTGTCCTCAACTTTTTATTTTTACAAATGTGTTGCAGGTAAGTTTCAATAAGTCATTGGAAATCTCGACTTCTTATACATGCATTTTGTAGTTGGTCACTTCAATCCACAACTGTTTGTGGACACTGCTGTGCACAATTGGCTGCTGTGTTTCGCCCACAAATATACAGTAAATTCACTTTACAATATATTCCGTGAAGTGCTTTGAGACATCTAGAAAATGTGAAAAGCGCCATATCAAATGCAAAGATTATTATTATTATAGTTTGCCTTGGCTTTTCACATTATTCTTTGTCATATTCTTAATGTAATTTTTATTGAATGTATCAGCTATTATATCTCAAAAGTTTTTTTTGCAATATGCAACTTTACCACAAAGCTATCAGTGATGTTAACACAAATTGCTTAGTTGGATTCAATAAATGCCAGAAAGAGAAATGAGACAAGGTTCACACAAGTTTAAAAGGGTAAAACATTTACAATATCAACCTGATCGATTAAGGATTTTTCGTGATCAATAATCCATTGTAAAAAATCTGTAATTACATTCCTCACAGGTATGCACTTAAACACTGAGAAGTTGATATTTTTTCAGTGAATCTATGTTGTGCCGATGTTCTGTTATTTTCTTGAGCAGTGAAAGTAACGGACACTTCATTTTTCTGTTATACTAGTATCTTTTATCTAATGAACTTCATTTGTTTTCAAACAAAGGAGTGTTCAGACCTTTTCATTATCATCACCTTGCTAGTGCAGTAATGACAAGGCCGTGGATATGATGAATTATAACAAAGCAGGAATCAAATGAGCTGCAGGCTGTGAATTAGTCAGCAATTGATCAGTTAGTCATGTAGTCTATCTGTGGGTTCCTGTACGGTTTTTTCTTTACTTACAACTCAGGTATTACACATGACTGTAGCCTGGTTCACTCCAGTGTTTAAGAAATAGTTGCTAATTAACTATTAGTTTTATTTTAACACACAACACAAACATGCACATTTCTTGAGCAATTCAAGTATTTTGTATTTAAAATTAATGTTTTCTTCCCATTCTTACTTTCCTTTTAGGTAGGGTTTCACCCACAACATTTCCTTCTAAATTATTTAAATTAATGATTTATATTTTATGTGATGAGCCTGATCTGTCCTTATATCCCGTACTGGCGGGCAGAATTTTTCACAATTAATAATCTCAAACCCTTTCATTATCTTAAACACCTATCATCTGAACATTTCTATGCTCCAACAAGGAAGAGTGCTAACCTATCTGGCCTCTCTCACAGCCATATGATTAATTGGTACAAGGAAGGGAAGACAAAAGTAGATTAGTAGGAGTATTACACAGAAAATAAGTAAGTAATGGTTTCTATACACTATATTGGCATCCATGATCTAGAAATTTATGGTCACTTGACTACATGTGGAAAATATTACTTTCTTCAACATAGAATCTCAATTTAACGAACACTACAATTAAAAATAAGAAGTCCTAGCGTTTTGTTTTCAGG